TTCCAGTGTGGCCAGTGCTGGGTGCCGCCTGGCTTGCCGTTCAGGTGGCTGCTCTCCCTGCTGCCTCACTAAACCCTGTTGTATTTTCTCTTGCAGATTTTCCGACGAGCCGACAAGAACGGTGAGTGTGTTGTTCCTGCTGCTGCTTCCTCCTCCCTGCCTGGGTCTGGGCGAAGCAGCGCAGCCTGTTCCTGCTGGGAGGTTTGGCTGAAAGAGTGAAGGAGGACAAGGGCAAGCAGCTCTCTGGCTGCAAGAAAAATGCTGTGGCAGTGGGCTCCCCCAGTTCACCATCCATGTACCACGCAGGACACAACCCCTTCCAAGCCCTGCTCCTGCCTGCATGCGCACGATCTCTCCTCTGTGCTGCTAGCAGTGAGAAGGGAAGGCAAAACAAGCTGTGCAGACAGCCCCGGGTCCATCAGGCTTCTGCTCCGTCCTTTGCAGGATTGATTCAGTCTCTGCACTCAGTCCAGGGTTTTACAGGTGCCCCCCACCCCTGTTCCTGTATGCCCACTGGAGCCCCTGGCATTTGAGAGTTAGGTTGTGCTACCCATTTTTTTATCTGGCACCCATAAACCAAGAAGTCCAAAATCACAAGTTGTTTCTCTGAGCATTCCCACCCCCTCTTGGGCTCTCCTCCTTCACAGTAGCTTGCAGGCTCCAGGAGCTCCTTTTGTTGCAGATCGAAATGCAGCCCAGGAGCTAAAGTCCTCCATGGAGAGGAGGGAAAAAGCTCTTGGGTCAATGGAGAGATTTTCTTTCCATATCAACCTGATGCTGTCCTCACTGTGCTGTTTGTAATGGACTCTGTGCTTGGACAGTCAGCTTGGACAGTCATTTAAGTACGGAGTGTCTGCATGCGTTTCTGAAAATGTTGCAGTGGGGTCTTTTGGAAGGGCCTGAAATTCCCACCTGAAATTCCAGCAGCAGCGGCCCTGCTTGCCAGCGCTTCTGGGTTTTTGATGGGGGCTGGTGGGACAGGCTTTCAATGAGATATCTGCTCTAATTATCATGCACAACACGCCCAGTCGTCCCACGCTCCTGGTAGAGAGGCTGCTGGGAGGATCGCTGGGGCCTGCATACTTCTTTCTGCAGATATATAATTATTCTTCCCTTTTATTTAAATGCAGATGATGGGAAGCTGTCATTTGAGGAGTTCAAGAACTATTTCGCTGATGGGATCCTGAGCTCTGAGGAGCTGTGGGAGTTGTTCAGTGGCATTGACAGGCGTCATTCAGAGTAAGTACCGTGGTGGCACAGAGGAGAGGAGATGAAGGAGAATATAAAACTGCTTAACTGGAGATGGAGGACATTTGGAGGCGGGTGCGATAAATAGTCAGGGTGAGATAAACCTCCCTCTTGTAACACGCAGATGTTAAAACCCATTGAACACCAGCTATGAACATTGGTGATGAGAGAAGCCAGACATTTTGAGAACAGTCATTATCAGATTTACTGTAGTTCCGTAAAAGTAAGCATCCATTTAAAATTACATTACGTTAGTTTGAAAAATGTATTCCAGAAATATAGAGCTCTATAGAGCAGGTTGTGCGTCTGCAGGAGGAGCATGTGTGGACGATGATCCCTGCTGACACAGGGAGCTGCTTTGCACTTACGTAAGAGCTGCTTTCCACCAGAAGTGGGCCTTATGAGTGTAACTGTGAATTTAGGCCAGCTACTTTTAAAAAAAGAAACCCCCAAAGAACAGGAGAAGTAATTGCATTTAGCCCTGGTCTCCTCTTGACTGGTGCTATCTGGAGGAGTCTGTTGGGCTCGGCAGGATTTCTCATCCCAGTCTTTCAGATATCAGTGTGTCCTTACTGGGGTCCCTCTGCCCTGCTGGCCACTGTGAATGAGCATGTTTTGGCACTGGGAGAAACTGGCTGTTGAAAAGTTGCATGCCTGGGGGCTGCCTGTTCAAATGGAGGGCTGTTGCTGGGGGAGAAGGTGGCTGCAGCTTACCCCCAGTCTTCGATGGCGGGCTCGGCTCTGGCTCGTGCCACTTCCCTGGCACCTCAGGAAGCATCTCCTGCACACCCTTGCCCAGGTCAGGGTCTGAGCAGGTCCCCGCCAGGGAGAGGTGACTCGGAGCAGCCATAGCTGCACATGCTGGTCCCAGGGCTTTGCAGGGAGCCAGGGCAGCGGCAGGGAGGGCCCGTGCCACGCCGAGATGCCAGCAGCCACCGAATGCCACTGAGCCACTGACAGTGGATACCCAGCGATCCCTGGCTGCAAGTCCCCATATCACCCACCCAGGACTGGGGGAGTGAGGGTGACTGACTGCTGCCAAGCATTGGGGTGGTGGGTTTAGCTGGTGCTCCCACTCTAGTGGTGGGGCAGAGAAGTGGGCTGGCATGTGCAGCCCTGGTGCTGCTTTCTTTTAAGCCTGACTGCCCGTTGCTGCCAGTCCTGCCAGTTGGGCTTGTTGGGTGTGGGCAGCAGGAGGTGTCTCCTGAAAATTCCTCTGTCTCTTTATGTTGTGATCCCAGGGAGTTAGCAGTGAGCCCTTCCCTTTCCTCTGCAAATACTCCTTTCCTCTCACTCCATTTTGGGTTGACCTTGGAGTCACCCCCATACAATACCACTGGAAAACACAGATTGCAGCAAAGCAGAGAGTTTTAACCATGCCCTTAACTGAACAGTGAAGTTCTCCTGGTTTACCATCGCTTTCAGGTCAGGCTTCTTCTGCCTGTCCAGAGCAGATAACCAGAACTGATGGAAGGGCCCTGTGCGAGCAGGCTGTCTCTGAGGACCATGCACGACCCTGGCTGCAGCGGTGCTCTCTATAACTCATTACCCATAATGACAGTGTGGTAGCTATGACAACGTGGCAGTTGCGGCATTGAGCTGGTGACATCTATTAGCAGGGCATGACCACTGAGTCTTTGATCTCTTTCTGCCATGAAGAGCAGAAGGGACCCTGCAGACAGACCTGGTTTCCAAATTCCGGTGTTCAGTGACTTCAGGCAAATGTAGGAGACGCCGTCCCTCCAGCCCTGCGAGGATGCCCTTGTTTCTGCAAGAGCAGAAGGGAAAGTCCAGCCCTGAGGCCATTGCAGGTGTAGTTCTTGTTTCTGTCCCTGGCTGGGACGTGGTCCATGTGCACGTGTGCAGGGTCAGTGCACAGGACAGCTTCAGTGTGAGCAGGCGGGAGCAGGACAGGATGTGGGAGGTGGCAGCAGGGAACTGTGTGTGATTTTTTCAGCTTCATCTCCAGCTTGTGGAGGAGGAGGTGGGACCTCCCAGAGAGGGAGCCTGGCCCTCAGTTTATTGTCTGGTAAGAGGCATCCTGCCCCCTGCAAACAACGTGGGGCAGCGCTGCATCTACCAGAGTGCTCTGATCCTGACCCAGAGCTGCCTGCGTACTGGGACGAGGAACTTGGAGAGACACGCCTGCGCCCACGGAGGCACAACCCCATCTGTCCCCAGGGGCTGCCCGCTTGCCTACTGCACAGTGGCAGGTAACAGAAATTGAGCAGTGTTCTGTGCGCTGGGCCTCGTAGAGGTCTCCGTGGCTGTGTGTAGAGCTGGGCTTTCTGGCATTTGTTTTTGGGGTGTGCAGGGGGGCTTGCTCCTTTGTACAACCTTTCAGTTGTAAGGGCTGTGCTGGTGCCCCTGCTGTCCCCTTGATGGCAGGGCTGGACAACCCCTCTCCTTTGGGCTGCCCGCTTGCCTTGCGCTTGCAGGAGCTTAATATTTTTGCGGAGCTGGCTCAAATTGCTTCCAGATTCAAGAGTTATTACCTGTGGTAATACTCGAACTATTACAAAGCTGGAAAGCAACTACAAGCTCTACAAACATACCCGGCATGCTTCTTTCATGTCCTGTAGCTTTTCTGATGATGGGAAAGGTTTTCAGCCTTAATCCAGTGGCTGGATTTGACCACAAGGGTGCTGTGTTCACCAGATACAGGCTGAAACTTGTGTTTCTTTGTCAATGCCAGCCTGACCCAAGGAGAGACAGTAACAAGGACCTTTGTACCCCGGCATTCTGCGTGTCCAGGATATGGAGCGCTGCCAAGACATGTCCTGACCCTTGCCCATCAGTGCAGACCTGCAGCTGCTCCCCTCGGTCCCAAAGCTGACATCTGGGAAGATGAGTATTTCAGAGGTCTTGTGCATGCCTTGTTCTCCTTCCAGAGAGCCCATGGCACCACGCTCTTCTTTTCTCCCTGTCCCATCCGATCTTTGCTCTACCTCCCATCCACCCAGTGCTCAGGTGGGACACAGTGGCCTGTGCCTCAGGCACCTCTGTTGGATTCGATTCAGATTTTACATTTCCCACAAGGCTTTTTTTTGTTCTGCATTTCTGAATATTGTTCTGTTTGGGCTTTAAAGTATTTCCTTGCTCTAATTCTTTGACATCTAAAAAATGATGGTGAAACCAAATTCAACTCTTGATTGCGATTTGGTCCAACAGCTAGGTCCACCATTTTGTTTAGCTTGTCAAAAAGCTCTACGCCAGCTCTGGCACTGGCACAGAACAGAAAGATTCATCCTCCTGAAAAAGTGCATTTTCATCCACTGAAATATCTGAGTGAGAAGGGACAAATGTTTTTGAAGGGGTGTAAAAGTTCCATTGCTGCAGAAGTGTCCTGGGAGACACTCAATGTGGTTTGCTCTCTGAGCAGCCCTGTGTCTGCCTGTGGCCCAGCCAGGTGGGATGGCAGCAGGTCCCGGGCTCTCAGGGGGGCAGCTTAATGGAGAGTTGGTTACAAAGGACGTTGGACTGAACGTTGTAGCGTTGCATAGGTTGCATGCCTACTGCTCTTCGCAGGGGACTCTGAAACCTGCCCAAGGAAGTGTCACGTCAATCTCGTGCATCTTTCTGACCTGCATCTGAAAATTTAGAAGAATAAGGTCTGGCAAATCCTTCTTTGCATGAGAGTGGTCAGATGGTGGTGGCAGGAATTGAGTACGGACTGCCCAGAGCCTGTGTTTCCAACCTTGAGCCACAAGTGAAAGAGGTGGGAGTGCTGGCCTGGTGGTTTTTTAAAAACTCTTGGTGGAAATAGCCTCAAGCCTCTGGTTCTGTGGAAGAAGGCGCTTGTGTGAACTTCCCTCCCCTCTCTTTAGTCTCTTTAGAGACTCCGAGCTGCAGTGTCTGACAGTATCTGAATGACAGAGTTACTGAAACGCTCTGGGTCACCCTGGAAAGGTTTGGAAACCAGATCTGTGATCTGCAGCAGAGGTTCCCAACATGACAAATGATAAAAATAAAAAAAATCCCATCTGCTTTGCTGAAGCTGATTGCTGTTTTCTTGCATAAATTCCAGGCGCATTCTGACAAATTCCCAACAGCATAATGATGACAAGATCCTTCATCATCAGTTCAAGCTTAATTACAGTTAATCAGTGGTTTGAGCACAGTCAAAATGCAGCTATTTGGGAATGTGGAGAGTCTCAGGATGAGTGCTTTGGAGGCGGAGGATGGCTCTTCTCTTGGAGTGGGAGAGGGGATGGCAGAGAGAGGAGTGGAGCAAAACCTGCTGCCCCGATGCAGCCCTGCAAAATGGGTCAGGATTTGACATGCAGTTTCTTTACACAAGCTCCTCCTAGTTTCTGGTGTGAAGTAGCTTCTGGTAACATGCAAATGGCACCATCGCTCCTGCAATTTGCTTGCTGTGCTCTGTCCTGCCCCTAACTGTGCCCTGGGGGCTGCCGCAGGATGCAGAACATGGGAAGAGGTGGCCATGCAGGGTTGCTGACAGACCAGGGTGCGTTGGGAAGGGAGCAGATCGTCCACTGGACAACTCCCGGAAGGCTGATTTTTTTGCCACAAGATCTCGGTTCAGTGTTTAACTAATCAATCACTAAAACACTGAACAGTTAATGTTTGTTTTTAAGCAGCAAACAGTCAAGATAGAAAGAGTTATTAATCATCTCTGGCATCTCCTTAAAAGCCAGAGGGTTGGTGTTGATGATGGCTCTTTGTCACATGGACACCTGCTTGCTAGAGCTGAGTTTGGGAACTAGGCAGTGGGTTGAGCTGGTGGCCCCTTCTTCTTCTTGGTGAAACCAGTCCCAGGCCCAGGTTCTCACTGGGGACAGATGCAAATGCCTGGGTAATGTATGCATTAGGTATTTCACTGTGTATTTTGTTATCTCATGTCCTTATCCCCTCTTGTGGGAATTTTACCCATCTCTGGGATGGGAACCAGTGGCTGCAGGTATTGCTCTGGGGCACGGGTCGAACAAGCAGTGCTGCGGATGCTGTGGTGCCAAGTCTTTTGTGGCAGTGCAGCAGCAGTGGCTCTGCAGGCTCCAGGCAGCTTTCAGAAATAAGTGGAAGAATTAAGAAGGAGCAAGATGTTTTTCCAATTTAAATTTCTGCTTCAAACCCCAGTCAGTCTATCTAGCAGAGCTGTGGTCGGATGCATGGAGCTGCTCAGAGATGGGATCAGCAAAGTTTGATGGAGTGGAGTTGGCAGAAGAAGGGGCTGTGGTTTTGCTGTTTATCTGTATTGCGTCTCAAGGGAAGCACTTTTTTTTTTTTATCCACTTTACAAACTCTCTGCAGTGCCAGGACAGTGCGCCAGAGCCCTGCCTTAATCAGCTCCTGCAGTAGGTGTTTAAAAGAGATGAGCCAAATCACATCCTAAAACTGCCCATCTCCATTGCCTGGGAAGGCACCTGACGCAATTAGGTAAACAGAGGGGTGTCCAGTCCTGCCACCGTGGGTCTGCAGTGATGTCTTGCACCAAAATATTTTGACAATTTGAAGTACTGCCTGTATTAAAGTATGCTAAGTGGAAGCATGGCAGAGAGATGCAGAAACCAGCCTGTGATGTTTGGGGGAAAAGCTGTAGGAAGACTTTGCTTAAATTATTACACCTGCACTTGGCATGGCATTTTGGACACTTCCCACACTCTCCTCTAATTTTACCTCGGTGCATTTTTGCCCCTTTGCCTGGTGAGCAGTATCAATGTCAGGGCAGGGCAATGCAGCAGTGGTTTGACATCCCCATGGCAGCGGCACTGCAGCCGTCCTTGCGCTTGGAGCCCAGCAAAATCCAGGTATCACTGCTTCCTCCACATGTGACAGCACTTAAACACTTAAAAAACTGTTTTTCATGCTCTCTTCCACATTCCCAATCAGGATTAAAAATGGTTGTAATCATTTAGGGGATTTTGAGACGGCAGAATTTCTTGAACGGAGCCTGATTTGAATAAACGATATCCTGGGGCATTTCCCTGCAGACTCTGCAGGCGATGCCTGGCATCGAAAGCAGCTCTACCTCTGTGGCTTTGGCCACCTGAGAGTATCTGACAGCTCCATGCGGACCCATGGTTCTGCTTGACGTCCCGTCCTGAAAACATGTGGCTGTTTCTGGATGTTTCCTCCTCCCTCTCCACCCCAGCAGGGTCTTTATTAGTGACAGGAGGGACCTGTCCAGGCATTGATTCTCCAGTGCTTCTTTCTGTCACTGAAAAAGGGTGGGGGGCTGGCCCCCACCTCCAGGTTTTTGGACCCAGATCCCTGCTTTAATAGCCTTCATGGCAGGAACAACGCCTCTTGTGGGCCGTGAAGCAGCTTCTGGGGCTGATCAGCTCCAGGGACTCGGAAATGGGGCTGCCAACCCAGCTGGCCAGCCCAGGGGTGTGGGGTGCTGCCTTCCTCCCCTGACCTCCCTCCCAGCCCCATCCTGCACTCACGAACACTTTCCCAGCACACTCCAGCTCCAGGAGATCTTGGTGGAGCAGCTTTGCTTGCTCCGTCAGCCTCTGAAGCAGAAGTGATGCTCTGCAGCCCTGCCTGGGTTCTGCAGGTGCTGGGCACGGCTTCTGAGCTGCTGGATCTAAGCCTGTGCAGCTTTTTATTTGTCTAATACACCTTTTGAAAATACATGGGAGAAGCAGTAAATCCACCAGGGGCTCAAGACAAGCCCTTGAGACCCTGCTCACCACAACTGTTTCTTCCGAACCAGCCCCACCATCTAACAAGAGCTTGTTTTTCTGTTTCTTGTAGCAACGTGGACACAGAGAAGTTGTGCGGTAAGTAGGTTCATATTCCTGCCTCAGAGGGCTTCCTCTCTCGAGGGTTGTTGGTGGGACTTGTACACGTCTGACCTGGGCAGGGCTCGGTAGTCAAGTGGCACTGACAATCCCTGTGCTTGAACCCCAGCACAGAGGGCATCTGTGGTTCTCCTAAAGGGACGGGACATTTTGTCTGTGGGGATGGGAAAGGACTCTTCATTTCAGTCCTAATGGCAGCATGACTCCGGAGAGGGATGCAAATGCCCCCTTGCAGTGCTGGGCTGTGCATAGGAAGCGGCAGGTGCAGGGAAGTGAGGGATAGAGGCACTCTGGAAGCTCACCGTGGTCTTCTCTCCTGCTTCAGATTATTTCTCTGCGTATCTTGGAGAATACAGGAATGTGCTTTCCGCGCTGGAAGCCCTCAACTCTGCTGTCCTGGCAGCCATGGACAAAACCAAACTGGTAAGGATGGGACTGCGGGAGCGCGGCAGGGCAGGCGGGTGCATAACAGAAGCCGTGGTGATCTTGGCTCCTTGCTTAGCATTAAGCATAGGTGTCAGAGGCAGCAAATGTGGTGCCTCCCAGGTCAGTGGGGCTGCCTGTGCCTGCTTCGGTTGTCTCTGTGTGCAGTGAGTGCTGCAGCAGCACAGCCTGCAGCATGCCTGGAGGAGGGGGAGCCATGTCAGAGGAGCAGAAGGGTAGGGCTAATGCTTTTGTAGTCTGGAGGCATCTCTGGGCTCTCCTTCCTCGTAGGGCTCTGACAGCGGCTGTTTTCAACAGCTTCTTGCAGACCACTTGCAGGGTTCTGCCTGGGGTCACTGTTTCTGGGAGCACCGTTGATAACCTGTGTTGCATCTCTGAGCCAAAGCAAGGTCTTTTCTGCAAAGCAGTGTGAGTGCAACAGGGACTCGGGTTGAACCTGCTCTGGGCTGACCTCAGCAGCTTGTGCTTGGCACAGCCTGCGCTCACAGTGACAAAAACTGGGTGCTGGTGAGGGGGACAGGAGCCACTGCAGTGGGAAGGCTGCTTTGGGAAACAGTGAGGCACCTGGGAGAAGGTAGGAAAGGGTGAAATACATTGACTCCAGCCTTGTGCTAAGTTGATCCCTGTGGTGAATTCTCTCCCTGCAGCTTGTACCAATGGGAGGCAGATTGGAGGCTGCTAATTAGGGCAAGCAGTGTCCTGCTTTGTGAGCTTCCCTGCCTCTGCATCGGAGGGCAGTGGTCTGCAGCATGCAGCATCACTGGCTAAATACAGCTGTGAAAAAGCAGTGGCCGATACTGGAAGGGACCCTCCTCAGGGACCAGCAGCCCCCTTTGCGTCTGAAATGTATTAAACGGTTTAGCCATGTGCTTGGGGTTGATGCTGTTTTACAGCCAGGGGAAGCGCCAGCCCTTTCTTTCCCTTTGATGCGGTGGTTCGATGCTTGGCAAGAAGCAGATGAAAGGCATCATCCACATCCACACCAACCACTGACCTACTGGTGGGGCCAGAGGAGCGAAGGGGACCGGTCCCTCAGTCAGCTCTGTAGAGTCATCGAAGTGGTGTTTGTGCCTCTCTAGTGTCAGTCATGATCTTGCCCTCTCTTTGAGTTTCTTTCTGGCCAGATCCAGCCTCAGCAGTGTCTCCCTGTACACTGGGAAATTTCATGCTAGGAGAGGGAATCGCTTGAAAATGCATTTTCTCTTTGATTCAGCTGCCCGGCTCCCTTCACAGTTACTAAATGCAAGTCCAGAGGGAGTGAATGAGTCCTCTTCAGAGAGCTATGCTTTATTGTAGTTCTTTTCTGGTTTGATTTTTTTTTTGCAATTAAATTTGCATATTCATGTATTTCTCCGAAGGACAGTGCAGTTACTGTCTGCTTCCCAGTATTGGTGTGATGTATTCATTCCCTTAATAGTTTCTGGCGCTACAGGTATTCCCTGGAAAAGAGAAGCGGGCTTTCCCCGTTGAAACAGATTTTTGTGGACTCACTTTTCCACTCATGTTTGGATCTGCCCAGAGCCAGGGGTCAGGGCAGCCCAATGTCCACAGCACTGCTCTCAGGCGGGCGATGTCTGCGCTGATCCGGGTGCTCTGATCCCAGCCCTGAGCTCCTGGGCGCCCCGATGCAGATACTAAAGCATCTCCCTGTGCTCCCCTGGTCTGCTGCTCTCTGTGCTGGGGAGAAGGCAGGAGAGGGCAATGCTCCAACCCTGTGGTCAGGGCTCTTGCAGAGCTGTGGGAAATCTGCTGTTGCTGGAGGCTGGCAGAGATGATAAATGCTGCATTCTTACCTGCTGTGACCTGAATATATTCCCATGTTTGTATTTCCAGAATGGGAATCAATATTGGGTCGTTACGGGTTTAAGTGGGTTTAGTAGGTTGGATTTTAGCCAAAGCTCACGTCTCTCTGAGCCAGGGGAGGGCGCAGAGAACAGAGGTTTTCCATATTACACACCCGCCCCTCATTTCTGTTGATTCAAATGCCTCTAATGCCACCATGGCTGAGGACAGAGAGCCCCAGTTTGTCAGAGTGACCACTCTCCTGGAAGAGCTGAAGGAAACTTCATCTTGGGGAGCTGCTTTCACTGGAAATGTAGCTGTGCTGTCCGCTGAGCAAACTGGAAGACACCCGTGGCCCTCACCATAAAGCTGTGCTTCCAGAACAGGGCTGTGGAGTCAACAGATGGAGGATCTTCGGTAAGAGAGCTTCATGTGACTCCCGAGGAGGCAGTGATACCTGAACATGATAGAAGAAGAAGAAAAAGGAGGGGATCTCTCGCTTGAGCTGGGTCTCACCAGGTGAACCACAGCATCTCTTGGTTAGGGCATGGTCCATCTCTGGTAGTTCCTTACTTCTGCTGCCACAGGACTACTCACCCCTGTGTCCTCCGGGTACTTAGCCCACAGATAAATAGGAAAATAGCAGGCCACTTTATGAGCAGGAAAACAGATGGAGAGCATGGGCTGCTTTGTTAGCACAACAAAAGCAGAGCCTGGGAGGTGCACCAGGCTTGCTCAGACCATGCCAGGGCGATGAGCTACAGGGAGGAGAGAGAGGGATATGAGGAAACCAAAGCTCAGAGGGGAATATGTTGCAGCTCTGTGTTTGGGAACTGTGGTTTGAAGCAGTGCTGCTGCAAGCCTTTTTGGATTCCCACTTCCACGCGTGCCATCGCGGTTGCTGTGGGCCAGGGTACCTGAACTGGATCAATGGTGTGTGTTGGCAGCTGCCTTCTCGCTGGCAGGCTCCTCTATCTGCTGCCTGCCGTGTATGTTGTCAACTGCAGGATAAATGCTGCAATAAAGCATGGGAGGGTTTGGTGGGTTTGTCCTTCTCGCTGTGTAAGTGACTGCCGTTACTGTAGGAAATAGTGCATGTGTGGGCAGCAAACCTGCTCGCGGTCTTTGTTATGGGCCGCAGGTTGACAGGAGGAAACCAAATCATTAGGGGTTCCTACGCTCCCATCCTTCCTCACTGGGCTGGTAGGAACATGGTAAAGAAAAGATGCCTTTTCAGGAAAAGAGGTTTTTTCTCCAAATTCTGTCATTCCCACTGATATTTGTAAAGTATAACTGTTGATAGCTATGCTGCAGTATACTAAATACAGCTTATCCCATGGCTAAGCTTTGCATTTGCAATATCAGAGTGTCAGAGTAAGAAGTGAACTGTGGAAATACCTTGGGAAACAGCCTGATATTTCTCACAGGGGACCTCTATGCTAAAATCTTTCCATTTTCTACTTTGCAAGCACTGCAAACTAATCTATAAATACCTCTCCAAGTGAGGCGCTCTTATTTCTCCTTTGGCAGGAATTATGCGATCACCTATTCCAGTCTGTCCCGAGCTTAACTATCATCATAAGGAACTAATAAAACCTCTCAAAACCAGAATTACAGCAGTTCTTGGCAACTTTGGTATTTTCATCTGAATCAACAGAGCTGGAATACCAGTCCACAACCCAAAAGCCTTGTCTTGTGCTTGCTGAGGTATTTCCTCCATGACTCCTTTCCATGAGTCTTTGCTATGAGCAGAAAACGCTGTGCTCAGTGAGGCAGAGCACGGTTTTATGGAGTCTCTGTTTACAGAGGGGGTTGAATTACATGGTGCAACACTGACAAGAGGGTTTTGCTTGTTTGCCCCAAAGCGAGGAGAGCAAAGCGGGCAAGGCAACTGAGCCAAGGAGAAGGTGCGCTTTCAATCGAATCCCTCCCCTGGCATGAAATTTTCCACGTCAGTGCAGAAGGGTGAAACAGCATCTGGGGCTCTCTTGAGAGATGGTTATTTCCATCCTTCTCTCTGGCGCATTCCCCTGGGCGTGCTGTGTTTGACGAGGCGAGAGACGGGAGGCAGCTGGCTCATCGTGTGCAACGCTCGCCTGAAATACTGACGTGTCTGCGTGGGATCCTGCTTTGCCCTTGCAAGGTAGACTGGGGTGTGCTGGGACCAGGACGATGGGGACCCCTCTTCACAGCGAGCTTCAGAGCTGAGTCCCCTCCGAGCACAGCATGCCCTGGGCTGGTAGCTGGGTTTTGGGGGGTGGCATGCCAGGCTGGCTGGTGCCTGTGCCTGCATGTTTGGGGTGTAAGGATGGTGCTGGGGTGAGCCATGGGGCTCAGAGCAGGCTGAATGTGCCCCCCACAGCCGTGACACAATGTCATTGGGAGCAGCTGCCTGTTCCTGCGATAAAACTCCATCCACCAACATCATCCACAGAGGACATCAGGATTAGGCCATCCTCAGGATGAAAGTAGAGAGGATGGGGAGTGCTGGGAGGCTGGCTTGACGCCGGGGCTTCTCCCAGCACCTGGCCCTTTGAAGGGGAGAGATGTGGTTGGGCTGAAGCATCCACCCCCTGTGCAAGGGGAAGCGTCCATATGCCAAGGCTGTGGGGGCCACAGCCGGCCCCGGCAGGGGACTGGGGAGGATGCATTGGGCATTGGAGCGTACCTCATTAAGCAGGCCCGCACGGCTGCGGAGGCTTCTTGCTGTGGGAAGTGCCCTCTGTGCAGAAAGAGGGGTGACAGCGCTTGGATTTGGACCGACTCCCGAAATGAAACGGACTGTGCCTGGCCATGCAGGGGATGAATAATGTATCCTTTCCACTGCGCCCCGGTGGGGACTCAGTCAATTAGTATTCTTCACCTTTCTTTCTCAGGCTCATCGTGGGGAGGTTTGAGTGTTGATTGTTCCCCTGTAAGCAGGAGATGTGCATCTGGGCTGGCGGGAGCTGAGCAAGCACAGAGGAGCGGTGCTGACGGGGATTTTGGTGCCTGCACCTCTTGGGAGTGAGGATGTGAAGGAGTGGGCAGGGGGAGTGGCAAGGTCCCTGCCTGGGGTCCCCAGCCCCGTGTTCTCTGTCTTCTGGGGCTGTGGGGAAGGAAAGCTTGTGGGAGCAGGTAGGATGCTTGGCTGGGGAAAGCCCGGAGAAGCAGAGCTGGAGCTCAGCTTCCCACGGCCACGTTGGATTGGCTTCGCTGCTGTCTTCTTCCTCTGGCAGAAAAATGAGATTTGTTTTCAAGCGTCAATGAAAACCTGGCAGCACAGCCACTGGGCAGAGGGCTCTGCTCACCCAGGTGGTGGGGGCTGTGGCTGTCCTTCACCCACTCCGGTGCAAGCCCAGGGCAGTGCTCGGTGGATGAGCATCCTCTCCACTTGCCTTCCCCTCCGAGCCAGCTGTAGATGTGCCAGCAACCCCAGGTGGACACAGCTCCAGGACTGGACTGATGGCTTGGCTGTGGCACAGAGGAACCAGAAAACCACGTGGTGCTCAAGACCCTCCCCGCTGCTCCCCCTCCTCAACAGACTTTTGTCACCAGCATCAGAAGGGTTCCATCCACGTGCTTTTGTGCAGAGCTTCTGGGATTCAAGATTCTCAGTTCTCCCGTGTATTGGAGAGGAACACAGTAGGAATTGGAAATATTTGATCTGAGTAATGTGGTAGCATTGCTGGACTCTACTGTGGACATGAAAGGGGGAGTTCTGGTGCTCAGAGGGGTGAAGGCAGCCTGGCTCCTGGTCTGTGCCGCAGCCATGGGGGCACATGAGGACATCATGGGGATGGCAGAGGTGACTCTGGTCCAGTCTGTCTCCTTGTCTTGCCAAGGAAAGGGGTTGGCCTCTGCTGGTGGATGCTGCTGTGGACCAACCAGCCCTCCTGCATCGTGTGGACACTCCTGACAGTTCTATCACTCTTAGTGCTCACAGTGATGTCCCGTGGTCTGTGTCCCTTGAGGAAGTGGGTATGGGGGCTAGCCATGGGGAAAGGAGTCTGCTATGATAGCCATGGGGAAAGCTGTCTGCTATGACAGCTGGGCAGTGCTTCCCAGCTGCTTCCCCCATGCAGCCTCTGATCCTTTTCTAATCGTCTGCTAAGCTGAGTCAGTTCACTAGAGCAGCAGCAAAGCCAGGTGAGTGGTTTTCCGCCCATTCAGTGAGCTGAATCGGCTCCCTGAAGCACCAAACAACCTGTATACCAAAAGTACCAAGAGCAAATTCAATTCCCTGGTTTTCACCAGCTCATCCTCTGTACCAGTGCTGAGCCACTTCACTGCCAAGGTCAGAAATCACCTCCTGCTGCATTGCGGGTGCCATGTGGACCCTCTCCTCCTCAGCTCATTCCTCCCACCCCATGGCTCCCCACAGACCTTGGGGGTCCTGCTGCACTGACTGCTGGAAGGAGCTTTCTGGCCTGCTTGAGCAGCCCCCTTCCTTCTGCTGGCAACTGCAAGCCGTGCATTGAAAAAGGGAAGCTTTGCCACAGTGCTCTAGGTGTGCATGGCCTCCAGCCTGGAGCGTTGGGGCTCGGCTGTGTCCCAAATTCACAGCACGAGCTGCAGTTGCGTGGCCAGCCTGATCGGACATACGCTTATTAGTGTGATGGTGGATAGGCACAGAAATAACCTGGAGCGTACATGAAAAGCAGTTTACTTCTTTTGGTGCATTCAAATTGACTTTGCACACCTGCAGTGGCAGGGG